GCCTATAGCTTTGACATGGTGTTGTCCACCGGACAGCGTCGTGCAGTGTCAGCATTCTTTACCACTCCAGCTAGCAAGGAGCGGGAAGGCCTGCACCGTCAACAGCCTTTGCCAGTCCAACTGGCAGGGGACGGTCTGGTTCAGAGTCATGAATGCAGAAATAATTAGGGCATGCGCCGAAGCACATCGACGTTCTGCTTCCAAGCTTCGACACGTTGGTTTCGACGTGATGTCCCTTGGGCAGCATCACGAAGTCGGAAGTTCTGTTCGCGCGCTTCTGCTTATGAGCACCACCGTGTCAACGGTTTTTTTTGCCAGTCGAACTGGCGGGGACAGGGCTTAGGGTTTGGGTTTACGGTCAGGGTGATGGTTGTTTTCCAGAATGTCATTGCATAAAGCATTCTTGTCAAGCTTTCCAAGCAGGACAAGCTTCGACATAACGTCGTTCATGTGATGTTCCTTCTCCGTTTTAGTGATCTCGAGACAGGGATCAGAGTCTGGGCTCAGGACTTGGTTGTGGTTCGGGGCTCATTTCTCACTGAACCCTGCCGCTCCAACGACTCATAAGGTCGGTGCAGACACAAAAGATCAGGCGTGGTTACTGTACGGGTAACTACAACGTATTATATGCAGGTTTGGGCTTGATGTTTACTGTCCTTATGGCGATGAAAGTACCCGGCGTGCTAGCAGATGCAAATGTAAACATGATCGCCCGAAGCCAGTGGCAGAGATGTGCTTGCACCTGCTGCGGTGCGGGAAGCCACTTTTCCACGTCGACTGCGAAGGCAGGGACTCGCTGTCTCGTTCGATTCATCTTATGATGGGGTCGTGGTAGTAACTTGGGAGTGAAGCGACGAGTCCTCGTGGTTGTCATTCGTCTTACCTGGGTTCCCCCTTGTCTCCTCTGCGGTCTGACGGCGGTAAGCCACAGCCCTCAACCCTGAAACGTGAGTCCGAAGCATCGCCACCCTTGGTTTGCGATTTCAGGCTTTAGGTTGGGTGGTCCGTGTTGAATTGTCATCGGTTGCCTATGATGTCTGGCAGGTATGCAATATGGGCAAGAGACGCCTGCCAAAATTAGCAAGTGAATGTGCAAGGGAGGGCTTCCAGAATGTCGTCTACACCATAGGCCTTGCAGCATGAATCCTGCTACAATGTGTTGACAAGCTTTGCTCAGCCATATTAGGTAGGGTTTTCACTTCCCTCTCAATCTGGAAGCCTCCCTCCATGTGTAGACTGAGGACAAAGAAGCATGTCTCAGAGACTCAGAAATTCCCGGAGTTTGGGAGCTCTGATTCTACGTAACGTGGAAGTTGCATCTTCAAAAAATTCACTCGACCTAAACGTGGGATCAAATGCTACCTCTCGGAAGGAAAATATGTGGATACCTGAATTTTCGGCATGTAGGGGGTGTTTTGTTTCTCAATTGGGCTTTCGTTGAGGGTTTCATGATTGTTCTGCACTTGTCATTAGATGGGTTCCTTGACTGTGCTAGAAGACTCGCCATGTCTAGTTTGGAGTACCATGCCCGGCGCCGCACCATTGAGTTGCCTATGCAGGACCCATCGGAAAAACGGCAGCCCCCAATCTCCGCAAACAAGACACCGGCAATGGACGACAATGGTTTCACTCCTTGCCTTGACATGGTATAAAGTGGCTTTATCTCCAGCATCAGGATGCACTCAACTGAGGGCTCGGAAGTGCCGCACCAAGAACGATCGCAAAATCAGCTGGCATGTATGTGTCTTCCATCTAGAAGCAACATGCACGTGGAGGCAACTTATCAAAGCAGCGCCGAAATCGGCCATGACTGCTGAAAGGAGCAGATCTGACGATCGAAAAAAAGATTGTGAAGAGATGTGCGGCGAAGTGACAGCAGACAAAGTTGACAAGCACACAATCAAAAGGCCCGAGGCCCGAGACCTCCTCGCCCTCTTCCCAAGTGCAAGGTGCCGCTTCAACAGTTCATCGCATGCCTGCAGCAGCCGAGGTGGTCGCAACTGCCGAGGTATCGTGGACACGTCAGCTCTGCTCCCAGACGATCTCAATGCTTTTTTTTAACGGTTTAGGGTTTAGGGTTTAGGTGTCGGAGCATGAAAAGCCTGGGGAGTTTCTCTGCTACAGATCCTGTAGAGCCAGGTCCTGGGCTCTGCTGCCCGAATGCCCTGCTCTAGCCGATGTATCCAGGCCCGCAGACATTGCCAACTCACATGACCATCAACTCTGCCGCTACAAGCAATTCGTTGCAGCGATGTGGGCTTTATCACCGCACCACGGCACCACCAAGCCCTCAATCCGACCAAGAGAAACGCCCTAAGACAGGGAAGCCTAGGTTCTGAAATAGTAGAAACCCTAACACCAAACCTAACACCAAACCTCTGAATCCTCAAACAGTAACATCTATAACTCCGCAGCCCTGAGCGCTGAAGCCCAAAACTCGAGTCTGTATTTATGCATTTTGCCCTCGACCCCACGTTCCCCGGAATCCCGAGCCCAGACCTTGTGCCCATGCGTCTATGTCCCAAGAATCCACAAAGCATAGACCTCAGAAGTAGCACCCGATACTCTAAACCCCTAATCCCTAAACCCTAAACCGCCTAAACCCTAATCCCTAAACCCTAAACCCCAAACCCCAAAACCCCCAAACCCTAATCCCTATTAAACGAGGCAGCTGGCCTTGGTCTTCCCAGCTCCCTCCACGCCACGCTCCAGAGCACCCTCGGCGCAGCATCGACCTCGGTAAGAAACTGAGATTTCTGTTCTCTGGCTGGTGAAGGGGGGAGTTTAGATTTAGAATCCTATAAGGTAATCCCAAAAAGGAACTACTTAGGGGCCTATGAGTAAGGGCTAATGCAGTTTTGTGCGGGACTTTGGGATGAAGGATGTTGGCTTTGAGCCAGGCTGTTGGCGCTTGGGGGTCTGGGGTTTGGGATTAAAGTGGCCTAGCTTGGGGCTTGAGGGGGTTTAGGGGGTTTAAGGGTTAAGGGTTTAGGGTGTAGGGAAATGAAATAAGGTGGTACTGAAGCTTACGGTGGTTCATCGTTGGAGATCACGACATAGTCAAGGGATTCAAAATAGCTCCAGGGTTATGTGCACCAGGATGGTTTTGTCTGAACTCGAAGGCATCAAATCACGACAAAGACGTCCCAAGCAACCTTTACCCCCGAAACAGCAGGTCTCAAATCGGAAACCATGAACCGTGAATCCATCCCTCTATTTCAACTCCGAAGGCAGAATGCAAACAGGGCCTGAATAGTTAATGTTTATTTATGCGTTCCCTGATTCTCGCAGCCCAGCCATATTCATAGTATATTATCCTCAACATGCATTCTGCTTATTGATTATTGCAATGAAACTGCACAAGCCCTAACTGCCACTAAGTACAGGCTGTCTGTTCGGGCCCAGACATCTACTTCGATGTCAAAGCTGCCACGACCCAAGGGCTTGCGACTTTGCCCCCGAAAGAACCCCTGAACTAAACCCGAGCCCGTAGACGTTAAAGCTAGCAGCAGAGTGGAGCTTACACGTCCGGTTTAGACTGATTGCAGGTCCTCCGTGTGGTTGTGGCTTCGGGAGTTGGGGCGTGTTATAAGAGTTCAGGGCGCTGAACAAACAGCCGCAACTCACAAGCTTCCCGTCCCCAACTTGAAGCCTGCCTATTATGTTCCGATGCGTCGTAGATCCCTGCAGTGCTTCAAGCTGAAGATGGGGATTGTCAAGATGCAAGCAGAGAGTCTGCGCGCGTTGTTTGGTTAAGGCCCCCTTGAGCCCGACATGGGTCCTGCAGCAACCTCTGTGAACAAACCGAGCATCCCGAAAGCTTCTCCTCCACCAAGTAGCCCTAATCCTTCATTTGGAATCCCTTGATTTCCCCACGGGCCCAAACATACCCAAGGACCTTGTATACTATGGCGTCTAGGTCTAGGCTACAACAGCTTCAGGCTTAAGTACAAGGGTTCCTAGACCATCTTAGATCCTTTACTTTCTCAATCCCCGAGGCAGACAGCACACCGGCTTTCTCTTTGAAGCTCACTGCCAAGGTTCGGATGAAGTCTACTAAATAAGTCATAAGTTTGTATCAAGGAAGGGCGTCAGTCAGATTTCTAGACATGACTGAACATGGCATCGCCAGGAGTTCATCAAGGAGTTGTTGCTGTTTCTGCAAGGGGTGGAGGGCGGGTTTGCGGGGCATTCTTTGGGCCGCCGGACGTCCGAAATCTAGTCAAGAAACACTGAAACCATGCACGGTTCAGGATGGTTATACTTGGCATGTCTCGACAGGGGTCAGAAGTTATGATATACCCCTTAAAGCTTAGCACCCCAACCTCTTCAAGGCATCCCCCAGTCGAATTCACTGACCAAAAGCCGCCATCGCAAGGATTCCAACGACTATCCAACACACTTCAGTTGAGAAATACATGCTCTATGCTGTAAACCCCGATGAAGTGGTTCTTATGGAGATGCCGACCTGCCTCCGGCTCAAGAGAAAGCTCCCTGGCTTGGCACTTCGTCCCCCTAAACCCTAAGCCCTAGACTGCCCTAAACTGCCCTAAACCTTAAACCCTCCTCCAGGAATATCGCAGTCAAGATTGCCAAGCCATGCCAGAAGCCTAGCGCATCAGGCAGCATTTCGAGCTGAGGCTTCAGCGCCTTTGCCGTTGATGCCTACAAACTCTTGTGGGATTTACAGCCTGGCCGAGTTTTGCAGAACTGAACTAGAAGACTTGTGCTTGCGGGGTTGAGGATTTCCGAAGCTTCAAAAGCCTGGGGATCATCGACTGCATCGTACAAAAATAGGGTTTAGGCTTTAGGGTAACTTCCGGAGTTATATGTCCGCTACCGCAAGATTCTTGATTTTAGCGTCCGATGGGCTCTCTGCTTCCATCAGTGAAGTTTGCGCACCGCTAAACCTCGCCCACCCCAAAACTATCCTCAACCCTAAACCCTAGGGCTTCGACTCAGACGGTCTACACAACACCTTCCAAGATCTTCGAAGTTAGCATCCTGTAGGAAGGCCCGAAGCAACTCTGTACATCCCCGCAAAAGCACCCAAAAAGTCAGAGAACCCCCCACCCCCAACACCCGGAAGCCCCTATACCCGTGATCTCAGGATCACCGCCACGGATCTTCCAGAGGTGCGCCTCTCCTTAGCAGCCCCAGTGGCTCTTTTCGTCTTGCATTGTGCATCTGGGGGAGTGTGCGCCTTTTTGGTTTCTGTCAGGGGTGTGGGGTTCATTCGGGTGCTTTGAAGTTTTTGGGGGTTCGGGGCCTGATCCGTTACGTAGGCCTAAGGCTTTTGTGGAGTCGGCTAAGGCTGAGCCCCGAGGTTTGCAAGAGAGTGCTCAGCACGAACACACCTGAGCTCTGGATCTGGATCACGATTCGTCGTTCCTATGTGCTGCCGAAACCCAACAGCCCAAAGCCTTGAGGCCACTGGATCTGAGTGCCTCAGAACCCTAAACCCTAAACCCTAAACCCAGCCTAGAAGCCTTTAATGACCCCTTACAGGGATCGAAAACCCGAGAATGGAGCCTGACAGGCTTTCGCCGATGTGCTTATTCTTGGACAGCCGCCTTCTTGGAAGGATCTCTTGTGGTTTAAGGTTTAGTTTTTTTTTTGGGGGGGGGGGCCGGCTTCTCAGCACTGTTTACGCAAAGGTTTGCGATTTTGGTGTTCAGGCTCGTGGCCGTAATCTGCCGGCGATACCATAGTCACGGTTTAGGGTTACATTACGGAGGCCTGGCTCATTGTCTTGAAATGTACAACCCTGGTCCGGGTCGCCACAGGAAAAGCAACTCCTACATGCTGTAACCCCTAAACCCTAAACCCTACACCATTTCTCTGGAGAAGCCCCCGCACAGCTGGAATCCCTACATCCAGGACCCTCCAAGTACCCTCAAATAGGGGTATATGGTCCCAAATTAAAGGAATTTAGGGTCGAATGGAGGGTAGATGGAGGGCCTACATCAATGGTTGATCTTGCAAACTCTGTAGTTCTTTTCGCCCTTCATGGCTACAAAGTGTGCAGTGCCCCGGCTCTAAACCCGAAGCCCTAGCAAGCTCCAAATCTTGGTTTACATATTGAACTTTAGCCAGCTCAGCACACACGACCCTGAATCGCGAGAAAGCCCCACTGTATGTACTGCCTGCATGTATGCATGCATGCATGGCTGTCTGCGTGTCTGTCCGTATGTATGTACGTATGTCCGTATGTATGTAAGTATGCATGTATGCTATTTATGTATGTATGTTTTTTATGTACGTATGTCATTTATGTATGCATGCATGCATTTATGCATGTATGCATGCATGCATGGATGCATGGATGGCTGGCTGGCTGGCTGGATGGACGGATGGATGGATGCGTACATATATATATATATACATACATACACGCTCTCTCTATCTCTCTCTCTCTCTCTCTCTCTCTCTCTCTCTCGGAACCCTCTCCCTTATGCGAGGCCCTTGGATCCCTGAGCCCCGAAGAATCGTGCAGAAGTCGAGGCCACTCCTGCGAAAGTATTACTCCATCTTCGACTGGGAGACCAGGCGTTCGGGGGCCATGTTGTTGCTTCGTTGGGGCTCTGGGGAAGAGAGGTTAGTCATAAGACCATTTAAGGTTTCGTAGGGTTACATGGGAGGACTTATAGGATGCTATGCTGGGGTCTTAGCACACACGACCGGATTTAGGGGCGTATCAAAGTATAGCTATAGAGTGACTCTTAGCCAAAAGCATAAGGCATCCCCCAAATAGGGACCCGATAGATATAGATTCTGCTTGAGCCATGGCTGGAGCCGCAAATTGACCGTCTGCATGCTTTTCGCTGACTCCGCATCATTCCTGCAGGTTGACTTAGAACCAAATCTTAATCTCCTCACGTTCCCCCACTTTTTGCCGGCCCCCTGTACCCTAAGACTTAACCCCAAACTCCACCCTGAACCGTAGACCCTGAAGCCCTATACTTGTAGACCCCAATTTAGGCCTTAAGTTTTGCTTTCGGATTTCCATGTGATGCAGGAGCATCGGCTTCGGCGTCGCCGCTGAAGCAGCTGAGGTTCGGCGGGATCCATCAATCAAACGTCTCTAAGGGCTTGGGGTTTGTAGTTTAGGGTTTAGGGTTTAGGGGTTTCGAGGTTTTAGGTTTTAGGGTCAGTTTTTTGGCTTCAGGGTTTGAGGGTTTCGGGGTGGGGGTCGGGGGCCGGGGGCGGGGATCTTGCAATCTAGCCCCACGCATAGGTACCAGGTTTACTCGGTCCATTCGAGCCTGTAGGTACTAGAGGGGTCTGAGCAGTTTAAAACTCGTTTTCCGTAGGAAAATTCGTTTTCCTTAGTAACTTAGGGTAGTTACCTTTAACTTTGGTATGCCCGTAAGCCCGAAAACTGCACGACCGAAGACCACGGAAACGATTGGCTGCTCTGGCAGTAGACAGGCACCCAGCAAAGTTGGCATCTCGCACGCGCTGAAGGATGAGGACACGTTGGTTTCACGATTTAGGGCTCAGCGTTGAAAGGATGCCCTAGCAGACTGGCATCGGGAGTGGTTCCAAAGCGCCAGAATGTAGGGATCGTATTGGAGAATCCCTGTCAAGGAAGGCCTTTTGGACTGCCAATTTCAGGGTAGTTCCTGGATGGTTACTTGGGGGTCTAAGATGGTCGTCCGGGATCTGTGCTTTTGGGCGCAGGGCTTGTAGGGTGTTGCGGATGTAGCTTGGATAGTTTCGAACGGGTTTGGAGGGTACCTGGGGCTAGGAGTGCTAGATGAGGGCTTTAATGGAGCACTCGTAATCTCGTTGAGGCTGCTGTTTGGCTCCGTTGTTGCTCTCGTACTAACTTGTACTCCAACCACCATCTCCGAAACCTTATGAACCCTAAACCTTTACATGGCAGGGTTTTACGTTTTGGCTTGCTTTGCTTGGGTTTGGGATGTGAAGTCTCCCTTGTTGGTGGTAGCGGGCGGGGAGCTTAGCTGCAATGTGAAGGGCATTCCGAGCACAGGAAACTGCTTCGTTCATGTTTCGGGCCTGACAACTGCTCGGAATTCAAAGCTTGGAGGGCAAGGGCTTGGTGCTTCCGATGGACAGCGGTTCCCCTTGCAGATATCTGTTCCCTGCAGGAGTTTCCGATGATGGGGTGCAGAATCACTAGAACTCCGAGGAATCTTTTTGCAGAAGACTGAAGAATCTCGTGTAAGTTTCTGGGTTAGCTGGGGAGGCAACGAAAGAGTGCCGATAATAACAGGAGTCTCACAAGGATTTCACTAGGATTCCTACAAGTGTTTGATGGGGGGTGTCGCAAGGGCCACAGAAGGTCTGCTAACGTATGAAACTAAACCCCGAGCGCTATAGTAAGCCGTAGAGGCCGTATAAGCCCCAATAAACGAATAAACCCTTAGCCCCATACCAAGAAAGCCTCATCAGGGTTTGGGGAGTGCTCGCACTGCGCGACCGGAGGATGGTGTTGAACTACCGATCTTGAGCACCCTCGAAGCGGAGGCCGGTGGTTGCTCCGTAAGCGAATAGTTCAGGGTCTATCGGGTTTGTACGGCTATAGGATGTTATAGTTTTTGAGGCTTGGGGGTTTCAGGAGGGCTTAGGGTGTAGGGTGAAGGCTCGGAAAGCCTAAATACCTACTGCACCGTACTGCTGATGTTGATTTGCGATCTCTTGGGTTTATCTCAACCCTAAACCAACCCTAAGCCAACCCTAAACCCTAAAATCTATGTTTGCACACCGCAAACCTGCAGTAAACGTGGAAGGCACTCGAAGAAGAAGTTCTTCGTCGGGAGGTCCTTGCGGCAGGGACCTTATATGTTCCAGGAGCCCGGGGTACGGAAGAGTTTTAAATTCATGTGCAATAATGTTATGTATGTATGTATGTATGTAGGTAGGTAGGTAGGTAGGTAGGTAGGTAGGTAGGTATGTAGGTATGTAGGCATGTATGTATGTGTATATAGATATATATACATACATACATAGATAGGTATTTATCTATTTGTTCATCGTCCTCGGTTTGGACAACACAGCCCGTTTGAGCACTCTAGGGATCACAAAGACTTAGGGCCCTGCATCTCCGTGTGAGCCGCAACGGAGCTTTGAGCCCCAAGTTCCCCTCATTGAGGGTTTAGGGTTATAGGGGTTTAGGGTTATAGGGGTTATAGGGGTTTAGGGTTATAGGGGTTTAGGGGTTTAGGGTTATAGGGTTTAGGGTTATAGGGGTTTAGGGGTTTAGAGTTATAGGGGTTTAGGGGTTTAGGGCTATAGGGGTTTAGGGCTATAGGGGTTTAGGGTTATAGTGTAGGGGTTTAGGATTATAGGGTTTAGGGGTTTAGGGTTATAGGGTTTAGGGTTTGGGGTCCCCGTACATCCCTCAGAACGGATTACTTCTGTGCCACCTGAATACGCCTAACGGGTTACCCAGAGCCCTCAAACCTAAACTCTGCAAAACCCTCAGATCTCAGCCTTAGCCTTATACAGCCTAAGCTCCAAACCCATCATACATCCGATAAGCCCTATAGGCTAGACCCTAAACCGCGACCCCTAAACCTGCCCTAAGCCCTCATTGCAGTATCCCCTAAAACCCTAAACCCCTAATCCCCTAATCCCCTAAACCCCTAAACTCCTAAACCCCCAAACCCCTAAACCCCTAGACCTCTAAACTCTTTCAGGAATCTCATCCAAAGCCTTCAAAAGGAAGCCTTTGAGGAGCTCTTTAAGGAACCCCCGAATAAACCCTAAACCCTAAACCATAAACCCTAAACCCCCAAACCCCTAGACCCCTAGACCCCTAAACCCTAAACCCCTAAACCTCTAAATCCTAAACCCCTAAACCTCTAAACCCTCAAACTTCGTGCTTGTGCACACCGTGGACCATATGCTCGTTGAGGCTTGGGCAG